CTCTGCGAGCCACGTTCCCAAGTATCGTATCGGTACACGCCCTGCCTCTTCTAACGCCACAGGAAGTGGTATGTCGTATCCAACCGCCGTCTCTCTGGGTCCCACAAGCTTCCTCACACTATACGATTCAGGCTCTCGTGAGAAAACATAAGCTAACCAAGCCGCTGAATCACTCCTCATTTCTTCTCCTACTCTCGGTCAGCATCACTCTACTCCCATCCCATCTCTCGACGTTGCAAACCCTTCAGACAACTCTCGCACTCAGGTCCAATATGGTCGAATAGGTTCAGTAGCCAGGCTCACTCAACCGTCGCCCTGGTGCGCTCCTCTACCTCCTACGCCCGGACCGCTACTCCTATCCTGAGAAAATGGGCGTCTATAACGTCAATCTCCTCCTCGTCAACCTCACTCTTTGGGTCGACCCAGTCTGGCTCCCACAGCTCCTCGTCGTCCTCTCGCTCCCAACCCTCGTCGTCAAACTCGTCCTCGACGCGATATGGCGCCTGTCCTATACCCTGGTAGTATTGTGCCAACTGATGGTCGTATATCAGAGGTCGCCCGGCGTCCTCACTCCACCAGCTCTCCCAATCGTCTGAGAAGAGTCGCCCGATACAGGTCACGTACTCGGGGCCTGCTCGGAGCTCATGGTCTAACCAATCCCAAACGCACGGAGACTGGGGCCACTCGTCGTCTATCGAGCGGATCAGCTCTATAAGCTGAATCCTCTCGTCTCCCCAACGAGGCCCACCGGTCGCGAGCGAATAATAGATATAGTCAAGGTCGGCAGGCCTTCTCGCCAGGATCTTGAGATCCTGATAAGCCAAGTATGTCTCGACCACTCCACCAATACCTCCAAAGACACTCTTTACTACGAACGTCGGAACTATCGCCCGCAGGCTCCTAACGTTGTACGGGAAAAACCCGTCCCGTGCTACCACCAGCTCGCCCGTGATATCAAGAGGAGGGCGTCCGTGAAATAGCGTCAACGGGTCGCTCGAGTCCTCCGCTCGGAAGGCAGCTACCTCTTCCCCTAGGTAGCGTAACGCCCTGCTAACTGCGTCACTAGTCCCTGTCGTCGCGAGGCCCACCACGGCCTCCCTGACCGCACCCGGTCCCAAATACAAGTAGGCTCTCACTACGCCCACTCCTTGCCCCGGCCGGTGCTCTCTGTACGTCCAAAGCCATACGTCCTCGGAGAGGATTATGGACCTCCACGCAAACTGGCCGTCAGCGTATCGAATGTTGCGCTCGGGGATCGTGAGCTCGACCAGATCCCCCTCTATGAGTTCAGGGGGCTCCAAGTCCCAGTCAATGGTAGCCCCATAGACCTCTACTTGCACCCTCGGCCACATTCAACTGGCGGCTAGAGAGAACGCAGCAAGAGGGAGGTGTAGATTAATAACTGAAAATTCCCGTCGCTTGCCTCACGCCTTCGGGAACAAGCTAGTAGGTTAACCCGAAACCAAGCTACCGCAGCGTCTCTTTCCCTTCTTCTTCTAGGGAATTCTTTTGTATTTTTCAATTATAAATTAAAAAAAATGTATTTAGTTAAGATAAAATTTC